TTACTCGATTCCTTAATACAGTACTTTGCTTTCTTTATTAATATTTAAAATGTGTTTGTCTTAAATATATTGTAATAATTTGATACCAACACAAACAAGGGGTCTCAAACATTCAGTATGTCACAGTAGATGTAGTCTTGGGATGTTTCCCATCCCATTCAGTCATATGGACTGCTGCCCTCCTCCTGGTGACTTAACGCGCTTATGGGATCTGTAGGAATTGCTAAAATGCTAGAGTAGGATTAGAAAATATTTGATGTCACTGACATCTTTCAAATATATTTCAGTGGCTGAAAACAAGAAAATGTGAGCAGTCACAGTTCTATGTACCAGAAAATGTTTAAAAATACAAATTTTTGAAAACTTCTTTGGACTAGAAGATCTACAAGGTCCCTTCTGACCCTACATCTATGAATCTATGATTCCTACATATAAAAAATACATTGAATTTAGCAAATGATTTACACAAGGGTTTAGCACAAGAATTTAACATCAGTGTGAGTACTCTGTACTGCTATGAAGGCTAAGGGAACCAAGCCTACAGTTGATAGTATGTAGATACAATCTTGCATTAAGGTCAGAAATCTAGGGCATGTTTACACATGTGGTAGTGGGGGGAGCTTTAATTAGAGCACCTAATTAAAGTGCCGGCAGCATCTCATGTATTCAGCATCCTGTGCTTCAAAATGGCAGTGGGGGTGATTTAACTGAAGCTCATTTGACGAGCTTTAGTTAAAGCACCGCCGCCGCCATTTTCAAGGTGCTAATTAGCACTTTCCAGCAGACTCAATTAATCAAGTCTGCTCTGATGCGTGTTAATTAACATGTATTGCAGTAGGCATTGGGTATGTGTATAGGTGCCCCACTGCCTTCAATGGAGCTTTGACCAGGCACTGAAATGTGCCCTAACATAATCATTTACAAGACTAGGGAACAAATTACTAGTACACCAATGTAAATATGCTAAGGATTCTGGCAACAAGGAGTAGATGGACAATTACATCTCTCCAATCAGAAAGCATAATTGAACCCTAACTCCCATTTCTTATTAAAAGTTCCAGAGCAGATATATTTTCTAAAAATAGCCTTGATTTTTCAAGGCTTCAGATCAGGGCTAATGCTTACTCTTTCATTCTAGATTACTAAGTGAATAATAGACATGTTAAAACTGATAGACTGTCCATATACTTGTCAGTTATGGTCAACTAGGAACATAAAAGAGGTACCAATTAAATATATACACCAAAATTCTTATTTTTGCCTGAATAAAAAACATAATATAATGTAAAGTATCTTACCTCTCTGAGCTCAAACTTTGATCTGCATATTCACTTTTCAAAGCATCTAATTCACTCTGAAGAAAAGCTATGTTAGTCTGTGCTTCTAAAAGATTTTTCTTAAGTTTCTGATTTTCCTAAAGAATCCACAAAAAGAAGCTTATTCAACACAGTTGTCCTAACAATACAATACAGTTTTCCAAAAATAATTCATAAAAATATCTGAAGCAGATAAACAGTAATGATATAAAAGAGTAATATAATTAAGAGGATGCTGGGAAAATTACCAATTATAAATAAAGGTTATTGAAAAAGGTGAACCTTTTAATAAGACTGAGATCAAAATCTGGGGTATAAGACCCAAATGATGAAATGCTGCTTTTACTTTGAACTTAAAGTTAAACATCAGAGATTCAGGGACCTAGTACCACTCTATAATCACGAGACACAGAATAGACAAAGTTCCAGTACCCAAGAATTCAATTTCATTTTAGATTTTTCAGTTTTTCTTACAAAAAAGACAACATCATAACAGTTCAAATGGTTTTTAAACAGTATTTCTAGAATAACTTGTACCTTCAAGAACAAGTTATCCCACTCCTTAAAAAAGTTTACCAAAAATGGTCTCTCTTATCATAAATATTCTAACACCTGGACAGAACTGGATAAATAAGTCTTTACTGAAGAAAGTACAACATGCAGGCTGAATCTGCTCCTTTGACATGTAAATTATAAGTAGTTCTTACCAATGACAAATCATGTATTCTTTTTTTTAATTCAGCCACATCTTCTCTGTCATTTATGTTTTTAGATTGTTCTTCTAGCTGAAAGAGCAAATAAAATGTGCACATTTAAAGATATATTCTTGATTGACCCTTCAAGGGTTTCATCCAAAGCCCACATATGGCAAGAGGAATAATTCTGATTACACCTATATAACAATAGGCCTTCACACACCTTTTTCAGCCCTAAAAGGCATCTGTGATTCCATAAGTTTCCCAGTTGTATGCATACGAAGTGTCCCCTCCAAATTTTCTCTGACATCATAAAATGCAAAACTCTAGAGATGATACCTTTTATTAGACCAACTAAGACATCACAAAACAAATTATCTTTATCTTTCTTTGCACTAAAAATATTTTTTGTGATGTCTTAGTTGGTCCAATAAAAGGTATCATCTCTGAACCAAGAGTTTTAGAGTTTCGCATTTCTTTTTGTCTCAGACCAACATGGCTACCAAATATACCTCTGGCATCATTTCATTTTCAGGGAAATTCTTTTGAAAAGTTTTTCACATGTAACATTCCTAGCAATGTAACATTTCTAGCAATTTAAAATTTTAATAGTTATTTAGCAATCCAAGAAACCAGAGTTGTAGGTCCACTGAGTTCCACATATATACAATACCTGATCTGGCACCAATTCTCATTAATATAAAAGCATTATACTCTTATTTTTCATAAGAAATTTCCATTAGTCTGAATGAAATTTTAAATTTAGCTTAAAATAATAAAGAGGAAAATGAAGACTTCATTTAAAATTCAGGGTTTACATCGCTGAAAGACCCACATACTTTTTGAGCAGGTATAGCAAAGGTCACTCACAAAACTAAAATCTGGACTTCAAAATGTCCACATGAGCTTTCAGATCTGAGATGTTAGGTTGCTCCATCACAGAGACTGGGACCAAATGAGACATTCAGATTTTGGTTCCTTTCTATCAATAATTCTACAAAATACAAATATTTCTACACAATTAATTGAACTGTTTCCAACATAGGAGACAGTAGGTAATCACAAGACCAGTTTTCTGACAGACATAACCCATTACTTAGCTAGCAACTGGGCCATTTACCTAGGTATTTCAGTAAATTACACTGAATGAATTCAAGACTAGCAAATTTTCACTCAACATAACTGGTTTCCATTTTCTTAATGTCATTACTTTGACAAATTAATGCATCAATTTTAGGCTAGAATCTAGATAAGGCAGAAAACTTTCAGGTACCTCCAGGGAGGCACCTCATTGGATCAGGCTCTCTTACACAATTTAGAAAATTCTGGTCATGAGCCTACCCACCTTTTTAAGTTTTTTTATTGCCACCTGAAGATCACCAACTTCACTTTCATACTGGCACTTCAGATCGTTTAGTGCTTCTTCTGCTTTTCGTTTCTCCTGTAACATGTAGTATTTTGTTAATCATTTTCTTTAAAAATTCACCCTCCAAAGTTTTAAACATTTTGTTACTACTAAGCCTAACAATTCCCTGTTAACCTTATGCAAGAGACAAGGACTTCTTAGCGTTAAATCTGTTATTGGACCAGCTACATAGTTGGAACAGAGTTAGACAAGCTTTCAAATGCAAGCCATTCTTCATCAGGTCTGATGGAAGACCTGATGAAGCTCCCAAATATGCAGTTATAACAGATTTCACTCTAAGAAGTCTGTGCCTCTTGCACAATTCTTGGATTATCACAGTAACAACACTGCTCTAACACTGTTAATCTTAGACATACATATCTTGTTTCTCCAGTGCTCAAAGTCAACAGACACCTTTCTCTTGATTAAGGTGGACATGAAAGTGAACACTAAATTATTAGTTATAAAGTACTGGGAGAAATGAAAAGTTTAGCAGATGTGAGAAAAGAGTTGGATTAATTTACCCGTGTTTCTCATGGTTAAGAAAATATGACCCAGTCTGGGGGGATTCAATTTTTTTCAAATGCCCTGTGGTGCACAAGAATAAACAATCCATCCTCATACACCCTCAGAATATACGACACATTAAATTCTCAAGAAAACTCATGGGCTAAGCACAGAAAGTACCAGGGATCCTGGTTTCCTCTGTTTAAAAGCTGCAAATTCTCTGCTGAAAGTCCCAAATTTTCTGATTTAAAAAACCCAAATCCGCATTTTTCCATGGTTAAAATGAAACACCTTTTTATATATATGTATGTGTGTGTGTATCAATTTAACAATGTTTTACTGATATATTTACAATTTTAAAGCAATTTGGAAGCCTACCAGTGCCTCAATCATTAACATTACAATAAAATAAATTCTAAATACCTCCATATTTTGACATTTGATTTTGGCTTGTTTTTATCATGGAAAAAAATCACAGCTCGCCTTGCCCTCTTCACTTACCAGGACACAGGTCCAGCTGCAGCTGTCCCCACACTCCTTTGTGGTGCTGAGCAGCCCTAGTATGCTGGTACCCTTCCCCTGTCCATGGTAGTATCGCAGTGACTGTGATTGCTTTGTTTGCTTGTATTGTTATTTTTCTTTTTTATATAATGAAATATACCATTAAGTACGAAGAATAAACACAAAGGCAAGGCTTTGGGTCTTTTTCCACCTGCAAGAAGGAGTTTTGGGCATGTCCAACAAGACCTGACTCCATCACTCATGGTCAGCCTGGCTGACCTGAGCAACTTTAGAACTTGGTAACACCTTAACCTTTGCGCGTACACGTGTGTGTGTGCACGCATATGAATGAGTGAAGCAAATGAGTGACAGCCCTGTCAGTGCCCCTCATTCCCAACCCACAGTCCCCAGCCTTCTGGTGCTCCTCCCTCCCAAGCCACAGCTCCTGCCATCCCCAGCCCTGCCAGAGGGGGCCTGCAGCTGCCCCCATCTTGCCAGGCCACAGTGCAGTGGCTGTAATGGCTCCAGCTCATGCAGGCAACAGCAGAGTGAGTCCGGCCCTAGTATGGCTGGAGGGAGGAGGCGGGGAGACCCCAGGCTGGGGCTCCCACATCATACCAGGAAGCCTGACCATGTTCCCCCTTCCCCCGCAGCATCTCCCAGACTCCCATCCCTGTAACCATGGGCACCAGCAGTAGTGCTGCTGGCCCACCCCACCAAAGAGCCCCCAGCCCCCTTTTCCCCACTGGAAGCCAAGCACCTCCTCCTCACCCCTTCTGTCCTGCCCCAGCACCTGGACACTTTCCCCCAGCACCAGCAGGCACCCCCCTGACGCACGCACCCATCCTTTCCACACACCTCTGCCACACATACCCACAGACCACCCCCATACAGTTCCCAAGCCCTGGGCCTCTAACCCCCGCCCCCATATACTTACCTGTATCCAGCTGCTGAGGCTGCTCTCACCACCCTGCCTGACTGTATGCTGGCTACGTGCATGAGTGTACACACATGGCATCCCCTGCCTCCAATTGCCCTCCATCCCCCCACTCCCCCAGCCCCAAGCTGTACCTTGCATGCTGGAAGGCTGCCAGCCTGCAAACAAAAACCTGCAGTTTCTCATGGTTTTCTCCATTGAAGGAGAAAATCTGTGTTTTTCCATAGCAAACAGAAAACCTGGATCCCTGGAAATTGCACATAAACTGGTATAAGTAATGGGCAACCAGTTCAAATCTGTAACACAACAGAAGTTCAGTGCACATAAACTGCTTCCAAAATGACCAAAACTAAATTAAGATAAACATGGATAGATATAGTATCAGACTTAACTGATTTAAGTTAATTGGTTTACTGAACTTCTGTCCCAGATCCCCTCCAGATTCCAGTTAACTCACAGTCTCCCAGCATCCAAGGATGCTTTGCACCTTTCCTGCAAGACCTCCTGACCCCCGCTCCTGACCCAGAGTAGACAGGCTAGACTTGGCCCAAGCTGTCTCCTCCAGCTGAATAGAGCCCCCTGGCTTCTGGTCTGGGCCACTGAAGGCATGTGGCTGCATTTCCCAAATCAAAAGTGAATGTCTGTTCCCCTGCTTATCAGGTCAATCTACACAGCTTAGACTAACCTGCAAAGATTGAATTGACTAAGCCACACTTTTTTTGGCTGTCTGTACTTAACCATGAAATACAAACAGAATAATTTCAAAGACATATTATTTAATGTTCTTAGCACTGTAATAAAACGGGAGGGGGTTGGTCAAGCCCCAGCTGAGGGCCAACATGCTGAGGGCAGGAGGTAGGTGCTTTAAACCGCCTCCTTGGGCCACATGGGACCCTGCCCAGGTTGGCCTGGGGGGAGGCACCCCTGCCAA